CGGAGCCAGAAGATCTATCAAGGCAATTGGTTTCCATTTCTCTTTTAGGAGGTCTCAAAAAAGGGTGTAAGACACCAAATTATTGGAGACGCGTCCATACGACTGATCTGGCTGCTGCCAGAAAGTTCTCATTGGGCCATTCTGAAGTGCCATGCAGCTAATCACCACCAATAGGCCACTGTGGTAAACAAAAGATTCTATCCTGCCAGAAGATCTATCAAGGCAATTGGTTTCCATTTCTCTTTTAGGAGGTCTCAAAAAAGGGTGTAAGACACCAAATTATTGGAGACGCGTCCATACGACTGATCTGGCTGCTGCCAGAAAGTTCTCATTGGGCCATTCTGAAGTGCCATGCAGCTAATCACCACCAATAGGCCACTGTGGTAAACAAAAGATTCTATCCTCCGTGCATGTCTCCTGCAGATCCGACTGGATAAAGGACCCTTCATGTCCTGTCCTACTCAGTCCCAAAGTGTTCATGGGCCAGTGTGTGTGGCGGGGCTGCCGAGAACCGCTGATCCCAAACTGTAACCTGTATAGCATGGAAAGCCCTTCAAACCAAGGCCTGCTGCTGCACCCCCAGCACGCTTAGGGCCGGCCCACAACATTTTGGAATCTGAGGCAAGGAGCTCAAATGACGCCCCCATATGCACATACGCACCAGCAGCAGACACAATTTTCTATACTCTGGGTCCTAGTGGCACCCCTCCTCCCCCCAGACTGGCACCTGAGGCATCTGCCTCAGTTCGCCTCATGATAAGGCCGGCTCTGAGCATGCTTCGTTCCAGCACCTATGTAGACAGGTACTGCCCTCGGCCCTCAAAACGAATCAGCTATATTAAGTTACGTGGGTGTCAGTATGGAGCCACAGCATTTACTGCAGCGCATGTAACCGCAGTCAGAATCAAAGTGCTCTACAAACGGAAAGGCCCGAAATATGCTGTCAAGCATCCTCATTAACCTTTCGTTATCATTATCAGATTAAGAATCATCCAACTGTGGTGAATTAAAAATAGCTCTGGACTTGGGTCAGACACTGTCCTGGCCCAGCGAGAATTCAATCTTTTGTTTCCTTTCAAATAAGCAATTAAAGACGGAGACCTGGAACGTTTGTAAAATCCACTAAACATTGGAGAGGATTTAGCTGGCTCTGGCATAATTCTGCTTGAGGTTTATAAATCCACTCCATTTTCAGCCAGATGCGTCTGCTTCTTTGCCTGTGGACTGACATCATAGCGACATCATAATGAAGTAATTATGACTGTCTATTGCTATAAATGCTGACCAGTGTGTGGATCGTGACTTCAAGTTTGTTCACAACATTTACAACCAGCAGAAACCACCACCCAGCAGGGCATGTTATGGAGAGGAGATGCCGTTATATTGTTTGTTTATACAACATCCGAAAGGGCATAAGAACATAAGAACGGCCATACTGGGTCAAACCAAAGGTCCATCTAGCTCAGTAACCAGTCTGCCGAAGGTGGCCAGCACCAGGTGCCCCAGAGGGGGTGGACCAAAGACAATGATCAAGCAATTTGTCTCCTGCAATCCTTCTCCAGCCTCTGACAAACAGAGGCCAGGGACGCCATTTCTATCCCCTGGCTAATAGCCTTTTATGGACCTAACCTCCAGGAAATTATCTAGCTTCTCTTTAAACTCTATTATAGACCTAGCCTTCACAGCCTCCTCTGGCAAGGAGTTCCACAGGTTGACTACACTCTCTGTGAAGAAGAACTTTCTTTTATTAGTTTTAAACCTGCTACCCATTAACTTCATTTGGTGTCCTCTAGTTCTTCTATTATGGGAACTAATAAATAACTTTTCTTTATTCACCCTCTCCACACCACTCATGATTTTATAGACCTCTATCATATCCCCCCTCAGTCTCCTCTTTTCTAAACTGAAAAGTCACAGTCGCTGTAACCTCTCTTCATATGAGACCTGTTCCAAACCCCTAATCATTTTAGTTGCCCTTTTCTGAACCCTTTCCAAGGCCAAAATATCTTTTTTGAGGTGAGGAGACCACATCTGTACACAGTATTCAAGATGTGAGAGTACCATAGTTTTATACCGGGGCCATGAGATATTCTGTGTCTTATTTTCTATCCCTTTCTTAATAATTCCTAGCATCCTATTTGCCTTTTTGACCGCCGCTGCACACCGTGTGGAAGTTTTCAGAGAACTATCCACGATAACTCCAAGGTCTCTTTCCTGGATTGTCGTAGCCAGATTAGCCCCCATCATACTGTACGTATCGTTGGGGTTATTTTTCCTGATGTGCATTACTTTACACTTATCCACATTAAATTTCATTGGCCATTTTGTTGCCCAGTCACTCAGTTTGGTGAGATCTTTTTGAAGTTCTTCACAGTTTGCTTCTGTATTGACTATTTTAAACCGTTTAGCATCATCCGCAAACTAAAGCATCAGCCATGCTTCGCCACAACGAGAAGGCCTGTGCCCCAAGGAACTTACAAACTCACGCCAGGTGTGACACTGCGTGCCGAAGCGGGAAGCAATAGACAGGATGAAACAGGGAGAAGGAGACGGGCCCCGGCCACAGGATCTCAAGATAATTGGGGAAGCGAACCTCTCCCGTATTTAAGAGCTGGGGGAAGTTGTCATTAGTTAATACTTGGGTTTTGTTCTGGGAACACATCTTGTCCAAGCCCCCACTGCAGTGGAAGCCATGGTTATATAGACACACCAGATCCATCTCCTCACAGAAAGCAACGACAAACAGCAAGAGATGGGTTTCTCTCCCTCAAGCTTTCAGATCAAACAGTTGTGCTGTGTGAGAGAATGAGTCCACAAAAGCATGACAGGGAGTAAGCCTCTTTCACCTGTTTTCTATTTTGGCCTAACACACTTGAATGCTCCCAAAAGAAAAGCCCTAGGCCCTTGTCCCATCAGCAAGCCTCCTCCTTTCTTTCTGTACACAGCTCTCCATTATCCCCATACCACTAGGTGAAGTGATGCATTTGAGAGGTCAATTTACTCTGGCAGGGGGTGGGGAGCCATGAATCTCTATTCTTCTGTGTTCAGCCTCAAAAGGGAACTGAGGGGCTGTTGTGTGCACCAGCTCAGCCATACTCTTGACTGGAGAGTAAATACAACCAAGCCTTTAATCTGGCCTGAAAGGAAGTGGAGTGCAGGCACTGTGATGGGCAAGATGCTCAAATAACAAAGCTGTCCGACCCACATGTGTTTGCAAACCAGCCAGAGTAATGGCCCCTGAATTTCAAATCTTCCTACCCTTCCTCTCTAAGGTTCTGTATTTTGTGGGTCTATTGGGCAAGGAGTTTGGGTCGGGTCCGTTTCTTTATTTTTTGTAACACCCTAAGTGACGACGCAATTCTTCAGTTTCTCTGGTTTGCAGCCTGGAACACACACAAAGGTGTTCTGGTCTTTATAATTAAGTCAAAAAACATCCATCTCATGGGGAACTTTTGCACCCAAAGTAATGCATTGTGAATTTTGACACTTGTAAAAATTGAGCCTAGCGAGAGTGGAAATGCCAGATAGGAGTGGTTTCTCTGGTAGTCCAGTAGGTGTTTCTTAATTATTACTAGCGGGCTACGCCCTGTGCTCGCTACGCTTGCCAACCCTCCTCTCTCAGGCCACTTTCGCGGCCAGAGAGCACTGAGAGCGTGATGATGTCATCCTATCACCCAGCAGGAAAAACTTTTTTATATAAATAGAGAGAGAGAGAGTAACACATTTTGTAAATGATATCGCTGTCAGAATTTCAACAAAATTCAACAGATCCTGACAAAAATTTTCTTTTAAAGTCCATGTAAAAAAAGAAACTAAAACTTGACGTCCATTTAATTGTGTGTGTGTGTTTCTTTAGCACAAATATCTCAGCACTTTTCCCTCACAACCCTGCATGACAGCCAGGAACCCATAACTTACAAACTGTCCCACAATAACAAATCAGTGGATATATATATGGGCAAACAAAAATGTTTCTCAGGAAATGCATTTTGGATGGATGCCCTCTGAGTTGCGGTAAGAAGGGCTGTAGCATGTGATTATGGTGATGCAACCACAGAGTAATGCAATTGGTGCTAACCACTGGGACATCCTAAGTCAGGATGTTTATTTCTCTGACATGCCTGGGAGCATTCAAATGGCTTTTAAGGGCCAGGGTTTCATGGATTGCTAAAACAAGTCATTATAAATGTCTTAGACAAACAAGTCTTCTCATGTTTAGAAATGCCTAGGAAAGGAGGGAGAATCTATAACAATTTTTCCTAAAATGCTCCCGAATCAGAACATTTTAAAAATAATAGGACGTCCATCCAGAACAATTCCAGGGTAGCTGCGGATATGCCCTGGTTGAAAGTTGGTTGTTTACTTTCAAAGTAAGAAAGTTTACTTCTATGATCAAGCCTGACCCTCCTAGATCTACTTTCCATACAGCCTGTCCTGTGGGAATGAAGGCTAGCTCATACCCACAGGTAATTGGCCACTGTCGGCAGTCAGGACACTGAGCTAGATGGACCTTTGGTCTGTCTCAGTATGGCCGTTCTTATGTTCTCTTGGCTCAGTCTTTCGGCCAGCTGAAAGGAACAGACACCAGCAAATCATCCTTCGCTTGCTTCCCTTTATAGAGTTTCACTTTCCCACCAAATCAATCACCCCGGCACAAACTGATGAAGAGCCCTTTCCTTCCAACAGTTGTGACACCGACCACCTTCTTCATGAATGTGCGAGGTAGGGCCCTGAACTGCCAGGCCTGCCCCACCCCAACTCAACAGAAACACAAGGAGAAGTTCCAGGCAGACCAGGTCCATCCATGGGAAGGATGCAGGAAGGAAACCACTGGGGCAGCACAAAATACGACATTGTATTCCTGGAGGTCGCTTCATGCATGGGAACCTGACGGCCTGGTCTGAGC